GGCTCTTAGAGACCCTAGCTTTCTCTTTTCTGGGCCCATGATCATTATTTGGTTTATCATGTCTGCATGCCTCTATATATCTTCTATCTTTTACGGTGAAATGTAATGCAACCCTTTTTTTCCCCTTCCTTTCTTTCCTCCTTTTTTTTTAATAAATAATCTCTCCTCTTCAAAAAAACGCATTCATGAACATATTTTCTTTATCTGTTTTTACATTTTCAATGCTGTTTGATGCATATCAATATGGGTAGAGGTTAGAATAAGGGGGTCGCAAATGGTATTAGAGTTTTTTTATTTTAGGGTTCTCTCGTTAGTCCTTTGCCGATTTTCCTTGTTTTCGCACCCAATGAGAATCCAGCTATATCTCTTGTTAGTCCTGTGGTTATAGGTGCACTCCATAAGTGAATAATTTTATTCTACTAAATTCTTTGTCTTACATCATAATACAGCAAATAGAGAGCTGATAAAAGAGAAAAAGATATTAACAATTTACAAAGTTAAACTATACAATCCCCTTTTGTTTCATTAACATTAACTCATCATTCTTTCCTCTATTTTTTTTTTTTTTTTTTTCCCTGCTATTTTCCTCCTTATTTTTCTATTTCTTCCCTTCCATTTTTCTCTTCTCTTCTATCTCCCACCACTCTCACTTCCCATCTCCCCCCCTCTAAATCTCAAATATCTCCAAATCCTAACCGACTCTCCTTTTACCTCTATTTTTCGTCACCCCTCCCTTCTCTCCTCTTTTCCCCCATTTCCCTTTTCACTCCTCCTCCCCCCCTTTTACTCAATAAATGTCAATGGATGATATATATAGATAGATGATTTTGTATCATTATCATTAAAATGAATAATTTTTTTTATTAAATTTAATGAAATATTTATTATAAATTAATTAAATATGAGCAAAAGTAATGTTGTAGCTACAAGGCTCTACTTACTGTTGCGTTCTGCCACATCGAGAAGATGAAGCACATTCCTTTATACACTGTCTTTGTTTGCATACTCGTTTTGCAATCATCCCATAGCAAGATGTGACAAAAAACATTTCTAAATAAAGAGGACAACTCTTTTTATTTTATAAAACGTCTTCTACATTAAACTTTCTTCGATTAGAAATTAGAGCTTGACACGATGCTCAACCTTCGGTTATAAATGACACATCACAAAATTAATTGTGTTTTGTGCCATTTATTCCATTGTCAATACTAGAAAGTGAAAAGAGAGCAAGAGAAAGAAAGACAGTAGATGGGAAGAAAGAAATAGAGAAAAAAAAGAACAAGAAAAAGAAACAAAAGTATGAGAAAGAAAATAAACAAAAATTTGAAAAAGAAGAGAACGATAAAAAAAACAGAGAGATGAAAAATAACATAAATAAGAGCGAAAACAAGAAGAAAAATTATAAAAAGGAGAGAAACATCACCCAAAGTCATGGCATATGCATTGACTTGACTGGGCCTTTTTAGAGTTCCTTTTTTGTGTGTAATGGGTTTTAAATGGGAAACCAAGTCAGTCATAGATCATTGAACAGACCCGATCAGAAAATAAATGCAGAGCAATGCTTAAGTAGATGAAAACTTAAGAAGATGAAATGGAAGCTGAAATGGAAGAAGATGAAAACTTAAGAAGAAATAGAAGAAGATGGGAGCTTAAGAAGAAATGTAAATTTCAATTTCTTAAAATATTTTTTTATACATAATTCTATACTAAATAATAAAATCATAATACAAGTATATGAAATACAAAATAACGTACAAAAAAAAGTAACTTATAAGCTTGCTAATAAAGACCAAAAATATAAATTTTTATTTGACTGGGACAACCTTCTCTTTCCGGATTAGTTTAGCATATTTGTTTTTATTAGCAAACTTATAAGTTACTTTTTATTGTACATTACCTGTTGTATTTATTTTTTTATCGTACATTAATTTTGTATTCATTTTGTAACAGTAACTCGCGAAACAAAAGTTTGTTTCAAACATCCATACATTATAACAATTCAAACTTTACCTATCTTTTTAAAAGTCAATGTTAGAAAAATAAAATAACTTTAATATAAAATCCCCTCATTAACGTTACATGTTTTTGGAATGTATTCCTTATACTATCCTTTTTGTTAAGTTTCTCAATATGAAAGTCGGCATCCACCTCCTCTCTGGTCCACAGTGGTAATAGGTTAGCAAATTACCCAGCAAAAAAGATGGAAGCATGAACTAAAGCTCAATGGAGAAGATAAACTATGAAGAAATGGGAGAAGCGAGAGCTTAAGAAGGAATGTAAATTTCACTTCCTTAAAATATTAATTATTTTTTATACATGATTTTATACTAATAATCAAAACAAAATACAAATATGGTCATTATTTTATTTATTCTATTGGGACATATATTTAATGTTTCAATTTGTTTTAACTAAACATACAAGGATTGATTTTATTAATATTTTTATATTGTAATACATATAATATTTTTGTTCCTAGATTTTGGCAAAGAATATTTATTTGTAAAATATTAAATTAACAATTATATAAATATATATTTATTATTTGTATAATAATTATCTATAAATAAAACTAATTAATATTTAAAGAATTAAATTTAATTTTAAAAAGCTAACTAAAATGTAGAAATTCCAAACGTTATAATTTTAATAAACTGATAATATGATAACTAAATTTGATTACTGTGAATCATATTATAAACTTTAATATGCCTATACATTAATCGTTTTAATTCATCATTTTAACGTTTATGTTCATACACGAGACTACATAACTAAAGTTGCGATGAAAAAAAATATGTATTTATGCCTTGGTATTTAGATCCTACAATTTAAAGGATTTCTTTTTTTTAAAGATATAATCTATAATATAATTTATATTTTAAAATTTATATTCTAATCTCATTTTTTTGGATTGTAATTAATTGTACATTTTAAAACTCAATGAAAATCTTAAACTAAAGGATAACATTAAAATTTTAAAGTGTACGAGATGTAGTTTGAAATTATAGAAATAGAAAAAGAAGCTAATTAGAAGAGACTTATCTCGTATTACTTAAAACTTATTATCGATTTTAATAGTAATAGATCTTGAACGAAGAATTTATTGAAAAGATATAATACTAATGACAACAGAGCGTAAGTTAAATAAAGAATTGATTTTACATTCAATTTAAAATTTTAAAACAATAGATTTTTGAATTTTTTATTTTATATATTATTTAATTTTTTTCATTTCTATTGAACATGAAACTTATACTTTCAATAGAATTTCTAACATATATTATTAAGAACAATCTTTTATTTAACTATGTGATTTTAAGAAATAAATATAATACTTAGGCCCTGTTCTTTTGAGTGGATTTGAGAGGATGAATTTGAGGGGATTTGAGAGGATTTGAAGATAATTTTTTTTGTCGTTTATTTGAGTGAATTTGAAGGTAAATGAGAGTGAATTTGGAAATAATTTTTTTTAATTTGTCATGTCAATACAATTTTATACTAATTCTCACAAAATTTATTTTCAAATTCACTATCATTTACCTCCAAATTCACTCAAATAAACGACAACAAAAATTATCTTCAAATCCTCTCAAATCCCCTCAAATCCATCCTCTCAAATCCACTCAAAAGAACAGGGCATTAATTCTGATTTTAAACAAACTAATATAAACACGTAAACTAATTATGTCTTTATAATCTGTTTAATTCGTTTAGTTTTAATTAGATCGACTAATTTTATAGTGACATAAACTTTTTGTTTATTTCTACATACGTGTGCCTGTTTTAATTATATGTGAGACATACTAATAAACTTATTTCAAGTAATATTTAGTAAATAATATATCATAATTATTTTTCTGAGAAACTATAACTTTTTATTATTTTTAATTAAATAAAAAATGGCCTGGTGTAGAAAAATAAATTGGTCTCTTTAAATTTTTGGCAATTACTTTCTGTTGGCCTATGAAATTTCTTTCTGCAACCCATAGAATGTATGAATTGACAAAACAGACCACTTAATCTTAGAATTTTGTTCCCTTCTTCTTCACCTATTCAGTGCACCCCTTCCCCTTCGAGACTTCATGTTGGTTTTGTGTCTTTCTAATATCCTCTTCCGAAAGTTGTGTCTCATTGGTCCCATCTCAGACTCATATTATACAATGTTTCTTTTTCTTTATAAGTAACAAGAGATTTTAAAGGAAGATATTTATACAAATTACTTGAAAATTTGAATACAATATAAAGGATAAACAAACTGTGGCCTTTTATGAAGTATAATAACCATGAAAGCACAAATTAGAACAAAATAGAAATTATAGAAAAGGAACACTTAGGTTGACACTACATAAAAGTTGTTATAGCAAGTCAAACATAACTTGGTTGGTATCAATACATAATTAATGAATGTTTCTAACCTTATACAAGTTACTCATGTTAGAGAGAAAGGGAATTCATGATCCCTAGTTATTCACATTGTTGGTCCAAAGACCATGATGCAGGAAAAGTAAAACTGTTCATTTCTCACTCAATACCCTGGTAAAAGCGTAAAATTTTTCTTCCGTGGGTCCTACCATTCCTATGATTTTTCCTACTTTGAAAATGAGAATTCCATTGTACAGTTCTAAATTGATAATCTCACATGAGTTGAAAGGGGAATCATGAGTTATGATTGTGTCTTGTATGTAAACTCTAGAGCCATATGAATCAAAATACTGTAGTCAGCTTTTAAGAAACTAACGTGTCTGCAATCATTGCATTATTTCCGAAGAAAAGTTGAGGTTCAATCAGCAAGATTGATGGTTGGATAAGCATTTCCATGGTAAACTCTGCATAACTTTTTATTTTATTATTATTATTGTGAGAACTGAGTTTGGTCTTAATTATCATACCATATTTGCACCTTAGTATTACCAAACTGATAGAACAAGAATCCAGATGATGCTATTTATTTATATATTGCAACATTGACAGATGAATGGCCTGCAATTCAGGAATAATTACGAGAAGTTGAGAACACAAATAAACACATACAGGAACTGTTATTTCGGTACAATGTCAGTCTAGAATCCACCAAGTAAACAAACAGAGGAAATAAAACTTGAACCACTTCACAAACTTGTACATGAAACAAACTTCAATTACAATGCACAATGTCAGAATCAAACTACATTCAATCACAGGGATAATCCTTTCACCGCCAGGCTTCTATTCGCTCTGATCTTGAATCTATGCGACTCAGATTACTGATACCCTTTTTCTCTGCAGACACTGTTGCATGGATCACAGGTTGTTGCAGGCCCCTGGTTTTTTTGGACCCCCTTTTAGCAATGGAATCACTTGATTGTCCACTCTTACTCTTTTCAAGGTTTCCTTTGGTTGGAAACTCAGAAAGCAATTCCTCCTCAAATTCCAGATTCTCAGAAGAGCCTATCAAACTGCCACATTCTCCTATAGTTGAATATTTGTTTTGGAGAGATTCAGGAGAACATTCTGATACATTTTTCTCGGAAACAAAGGTTTCTCCAGACTCTTCACTTTCAGTGCCAACATCATCTTGCTGGCAGGACTCCAGAAGACTGTGATCCCCATTCTCATCAGAAGGCTCTAAGCAAAACCCAGGAGACGATTCTACCACACAATCCTTTCTCTCTCGGAGTGTCCTTAATACAAGTGTCTTCAGGAAGTTCATCACTTGAACTGCATACATCAATGCAGTCAAAGGGTCTGCCATCTGCAACCAAAAAGATTGAATTCTGTGATTGAAACCTCTACCATAGTAAGATACATCAACTATATCACATTGGCCTCTTTACTACTCTGGCCAAAAATGAAACTATCAGGACTTCAATTCAGGTTAAAGTATTGTCACAAATCACAATGACCCTGTAATGTTTCTAGACAAAAAAAAGCCTGATTGAAGAAAACTTTTGCATAACACTTTTAGGAAAGAAAAATGAAATCAGCTTCGCCATAAGCTAAAATCAGCTAATGAACAAGTTAAATATCAAATTTTGGACAAGCTAATAGGGAATAGCTTCGACAAATTTAGTTCCTGCACAAATTAATTTTAGCTGATTTGATCTTTCTTTCTTATTTTCTTCGCTTAGAAATACTTATGCAAAAGTTTCCCTAAACATATCCAAAGAACTAAAGCTTTCACAACTTCACCTATATACATGACCAATATCTAACAGATAGCACAAAAATAGTTTTACTATGAGAATAAAACTTGATTTGGGTTTCCAAGATGTCTACATGCAATGTTGTAAATTAGAGAATAAAAAAATAACCGGAACTCACATGAGTCATGTTTGGTGCAAAAACCATTGCAATGTTGCGTGCATTCATCTTATTCAGGCGTTCCTCTTGGACAACATCAGCCATCAGATTAATAGCCCAGTCCAAGAGGGATGCTTCAGTGTGAGGTAGCTGCCTAACCAGTTCTGCACAATCATCTTCAGTTTGGCACTGCATTACATGCTCTGGTGATAAAGAATCCAGAACACCAGTAGGCAGTTCCCTAAACCAAGCCTTGAAAATCACAAGAATGTCAAAATCAAATTATCAATGTAGTACATACACATACACCTCTGATCACACCAAAACAGATATCAGGCTATTTCCAAACATGTACCATGTTTCTTTTTGATATTATACCTTAATCAGTCCAGCTAAACAATGTATATCAACATCTTCTGGGACCAATCCCCTGTTCAATTGATCCCTAACATTCTCCTCTTGAGTATTATCTGCATTAATTCTGAAAATCCCCTCTGCCTGCAAGGGTAAATTCAAGTTTGTATAGAGTGGTGGATTACAAAGCAGGACTGACATTTTTCTTTTTCGCATATTCTAAATTGTGCTCAGTTGTTTAATTCAATGTGATGATAAATTGTGAAAGAAGAATCAAAGATGAGAAATATCTAGGTGATCAACCTGCAACCCTCCGAGAGCATACAGATGCCTTTGCATTAGTAAAAGTATGGTTGGAACACTGTTCCCTCTTGTGTCATATGATAACTGCATGGATTCTGTTGAAACTCCAAAAACAGTTGCACTGCATGTGAAAACCAAAGCAAATACACCAAAAATCAAACAACATAAACGTTATTTCCATCATAAATCATGATAGAGACAAGTAACAAACTAAGTTGGCAGAGTTCTCAAATTTTCAAAGCAAACTTTTTATACATTGTGTCATATAACACGTGCAAGTAACAATCAGAAATAATCCATCCTAAAACATGCAATCCACAAATTTAAAATGCTTTTAAAGTGATTCAAAAACATTAATAAATGGTGCCGTAGACCCCTCTTTAAAGGATTCATACATGCAGAACCTTCCAATAGAGGATGAACCTATCATAACCACAAATCACTGGATCATAGCCCAAAAATCTTTTAGAGGCAGCGTTTCTTAGAGTTTCTCCCTCAGAGGCATTTCCAACACCACCCCAAGTAAGAAACATCAAATAACTCAATCGTGAACAGTAGAAATAGGCCAAAAAAGATCTACTAAGGTATTTTTCTCTAATTTTAACATTCAACTCACATTCTGTAAACATTGCTTAACTGTCAGGATCATATTTTATAATGATTGACATAAGAATCATATCTCTCCAATTTAAACAATTTATTCACATTCTACAATCATTGACTTGTGTATAAACAAATTGCAAGAGATTATTACCATAAATATATTGCACTTCTGGAATAATTTTACGAAAATGATTTCACTTTTTCCATAAATGCAATACTTTTTGAAAGATAGATGTCAGAAAATTTAAATTTTTTTATCCGACTAAATCTGAAGTAGTCATAAGCAGCATGATAACATTATGACATGATAAGATAAATTAAAAAAGGAACAGTGTGGTAAGCACGTACCTAGCACTGGGAGACCTTGTGGAGACTTCTGGTTCGAACTCACGTGGCAAGCCCAAGAAGCCGTTGAACCTGTCGAAGGTGACATGCGCAACATGGCGCACGTTAGTAGGCCAGCCAATCTCCATGGTGCAGAGGTCACCTCTCCCCTCACTCTTGCAAGCAATCAACGATTTCCTCAAAAGGGTCACAAGAATGGCCAGCAGCGACAGCTCCTGCTGCGTCGTGTCTGTGACCCCGCGCGCCTCACAGTCGGTGACCGTAGCAAACCCCTCCACCACCGCAGACGAGGGTAGCGCCGTTTCTTGCTCGGCGGAGACAATCAGAATGCCGTCAGAGGAAGAAGCGGTTGGCGACGAAGAAGAGGAGAAATGAAGCACCTCGGTCATGACTCACACTGAAAAGGAAAAAGGATAAAAAAAAAAACTCACTTTTTTTTCTTGGAAGAGAAGAGAAGACCCTTAACCAGAATTAAAGAAAATGTTCGGTTTTGATAGACAAGTTGCTGTCTTTCTGGTGTTGGATCCAAGAAAAGTGTCCCCAACAATGTGGAACGTGAGTATCATTAACTGGGATTTTTTTTTTTTAATGTTGTTTATGTTGAAGTGTGTGTTTCTGAAGAAGTTGAAGAAAGATGATGATGGTGTGAGAAAAGTGGTGGGAAAGAAAAGAATTGAAGAGGGTGAAATTTTACAGCACAACAGTAGTTAAGAGCAATAATAGTGTTTGGTGGAGAGAAGGTGTGTGAGTTGTGTCATTTATCCAACTTTCATTTCACAAGAATCCAAAGCTCCACCACACCTGTAAAATCTGGTCTGCAATTTCCTTTCCATTGTCAATACCACAGAACTCATTATTTCATCGATCAGTCAAAAGAGTAGTTAGCTGTGAGGATAACAAATAACAGAGTTATGTATTTATATTCAATTTATTAGCTGTAAATTAAATTTTAAAAAGATTTATTTTAGTAATTTAAATATTAAATACGCCTAAGGTAAAAAAACTATTTATCCTATTATTCATATAACACTCCATGAGAGATTCAGTCTTATATAAGAATGTTTGTTGTATTTTATTTATATTTCATGTGTTTAGACAAATATAACTTTTAACAAATGTATTAAGTAATATAGATATAATAATGTACTTATATTAAAATTATTATAAAGATAAATCAGAAAGATGTACATCTATCCTACTAATTTAAATGTTAAAAAATTATTCTTCGTATGTGTCTTAATTCTTACACAATTTTTAAATTAGTATTTTTAATATAAAAATTTGGTGTAATTTTCATCAAACGTTTCACTATAAATAAATAGGATTACATGTTTTTTTTTTTCAAATATTTTAAAAATTGTGTTTTATTTTTAAATTAAGTGCGTATTTATTTCATTTCTAGTTATGTAAGACGTTTGCTTCCACAAACGACACGTACATACTATCTATCATAACATAATTTTTTAAAATAATTTAAAAACAAAAAATATATTTAATCTTTATAAATTTATATATATATATATATATATATATATATATATATATATATATAAATTGTCAATTTAACTGTTAAATTATATTTTCTATATTATCATAACTATTTACGTAAAACTTTATTAAAATTGAACAGTATACAATGATTTACATTTTAGTATAATTTAAAATATATGTTATATCAATTTTATTTTATATAAATAAAATATTAAATAATTTTATATTAATATAAAATTTTGTATATGTAACCAGAAATAAATTATCGACTATAGATTTTTAAAGCAACATAATTTAATTGAAAGATGTGTATAAATTTGATGTTACATTATTTAAATTATCTGTCTCTATTCTTTATATGATATCATTAGTGAATAAATTTAAATGTGTATAAGTAAAAGAAAATTCTGAGATAGTTTTAATAAATCTTCAAATAGATAAGTTAAATAAGAAGATAATATATTAAAAATAATTAAATAATTGTTTAAAACTAGTTTTAGACGTCAATTTTGTAAGAAAAAAAAGAAAGAAACTAATATATTTGTTTAATCTGATAAATAAAAGTAAATTAATCATAATAAAAACAATCTATTTATATAAAAATATTAGTTTAATAATTTAGAACATCCTTATTTTTGCATGAATTTCTCAATTAGATTCTCATATTGTAAAATCTCTCAATTAGGTATCTGAATATGAAAATTTGAATCAATTTAGACCTTGTCGTTAATTAAACTGGACGACGTTAAAAATTTTGATGTGTGGCTTGGTGACATGAGCAAGTTGTTCTGACATGGCATACATTGGTCGCTGAGTTAGCTTTCTTTTAAATAAGTTGGTGGTCGGCCACTCGGTCTAGTGGTCGGTCACTCGGTCTGATGGTCGGTCACTCGGTCAGGTGGTAGGCCAATCGGCCTAGTGGTCGACCAATCGGCCTGGTGGTCGGCCACTCGGCCTGGTGGTCGGTCACTCGGTCTGGAAGTCGACCACTTGGCCTGGTGGTTGGTCACTCGGCCTGGTGGTCGGCCAACCACTAGGCCGAGTGGCCAACCACCAGGCCGAGTGCCTGACCACCAACTTATTTAAAATAAAGTCAACTCAGCGACCAATGTATGCCACGTCAGAACAACTTGCTTATGTCACCAAGCCACACATCAAAATTTTTAATGTCTTCCAGTCTAATTAACGGCAAAGTCTAAATTGATTTAATTTTATACAATAAGAGACTTAATTGAGACCATTCAGAATTATTTGAGATAAACCTTCTCAAATAGAGATGTTGAAAAGGATTAAAACAAAAATATTTAATAAATTAGTCATCGTGGCTAAAAATCACCATTTAGTTAATTAGGCATGCAAAATCACGTTTAAATGGATAGGTTTCGTATTTTAACAATTTTTAATCATTATAATGTTAAAGTTAAATAATGTATAATACCTTAATTCGTTCAATCTGTCAAGATACTCTAGCAATGAATGCGAAAGAAGTGAAAATGAACTCATTTAAGGATAATTAATTTCCTTACCACATGGACCAAAAGACATCTGGCACAATTTTCTCATTGATAGTTAAATTATATTATAAAAAAATCAATGAGAAGAAAACTTAAACATAGTTCTTTTTACTTTTTAGTTCACAACAAAATAAAATTTAAATATAATTTTCTCATAAAAAAAAATTCAAATATAAAACTACTTTTCTTACATTTTAGCATTATAATTCTAACTTAATTATAGCACTTAAAAGTTATATTTCCATAATTGTTTATTTTTGGTTTAAACCCTTTAGAAGTCCCAATTTATGGGGGTTTTCTCAGTTAGATCCCATTTTATTAGATTTCCCAATTTAGTCCTAAAAAATGAAAATTTGAGTCAATTGAGCCTCTACTTTTAAATTCGCTTCACGGGATTAAGTTTTTTATGAGCTTGGACGTTGACGTGGAATAATTTAATGAACAAAGCCTCTGAGGTGAAAAATGTTTGATTAAAAAATAAAAAAAAAGGGTCATCCCCTGTAGTTGAATGTCATTCCTCTCGCATTTCTGGCGCTTGAGTGCCATCCCCCGCAGTTGTTCGTCAAACTTCTCGTAATTCTGACGCTCAGGCTTCGCTGACAATTGTTGAGCGCCACACTAGAACATTTCAAATCCCTATTTTTTAAGCTTCATTGTTCTTTATACCTATCCAATTGGTTTATATGACATCCTAGACATTAAGAATGCATTAGAAATAGGATTTTAGCTTAAAATGGATACTCTACACCAAATTGCCTACTCTAACTTACCTAAACTCATTTTCACCTTTCCTCATGCAAAGTTTAACATCCTAAGAGTCCAAACAAGTCAAAAAATCAAACAATAGACCCCAAACTCTCTACTTCAACCCAGACCTACTACATTAGAATCTCACTAGCCAAAACCTCTAAAATTGAATTTAAAACCTTCCAAAACCACCCTATTAACTCATACATACTTCTATATCAGATTTATATTAACTCAAGGTTCCAAAAAGTTTCAAATGACCCTACAAGATGTCCTAGATTGTTGTTTCTCCCCTTAGGTTCTTACTTCTAAGATTCACCAAGCAAAACCTCTATTTTTTACCAAAATGACTTATAACTCAGCCTAATCCACTTCTTCTAAACATTATAACCAATTTGACAACACCAAACTTCTCAACAACAATATTCATGACAATAATCAAGTCCAAACAAAATCATCATTCAATCAAATACATTCATTCAAACACACTCAATACTAAGAACTATATTTCAAGCATAATAATTAACATGCATTAATTTCACTTATTATTAAATATCAATTCATACTTCATAATTCAATTAAAAGAAAAACACTAGATTCCCTTACTTAATTAGGAAAACTACCACATCTTTCTACGGCGCACTATCCTTGCCTTAACTCAAAAAACTCTAGAAACGCATACAAATCATAGAATCGTGATCAAAGCAAGTCCTTAGGACCTCTGATCGACAAAGAATTAGAAAAGGAAATCAAATGACACATGCAAAGAAACTCCTATACATGGCCTTAAATTAAGAATTAAAGGAAAAAATAACATAAACTTACTTGTTCTAAAAGAAAAATTAAACAGTAGATGGTGGAGAATGCACTGCTTCGATCTCCTAGGCAGTTACTATCGTCAAACAGATGAGTCAGGAATCATAAATCTTAGAAAGAATGGAAGGAAAATCAGATAACAAGTTTTTAAAAAGATGATGAATGTTTTTAGATAATAATACCTATTTATGAAATTTTATTTACATTATTAAATTATTTTATCATTAAAATACCCGGTCCCATTATTTTAAAACAATTATAAACTCTAATACTTTATTTTCTAAGTTCTCAATTTTCATAAAATCATAATCAAAGTATGTCTATATATAAATTTAGTTTTATGTGTTTTTAAACTCAAATCTAAAACTTAACTAATAAACAACGATTTTTGGTTTAGTTGTTTTCTAATATATTTCTCTGTTTTTCTCAACATCATCAATATTTTTTTTCCTTCAAACTTTTACCCAAATCTTATTAAAAATTGATGTAAAACTCTCAACATTTGAAAAAATAAGATTGAAACTTTAACATGAAGCAAAATTAAAAAAATAGAAAATAAATGAGAAGAAAACCATTAAAAAACTAAAACTACACATTAATGATAAAGGAGGAAGATAAGCGAACAATTCAATCTTTATATAGATATATATAGATATTGATTAATATATATATATATATATATATATATATATATATATAGATATACAAATAGAAATCCATCATAATATAGGTTATAAATTAAAGTCAAGCGGATTGTTTGTTCTCACTGTAATACTTCTTGGTGTGATATTGTTTGCACTCTCTTTGCATCAATTTATTCTTATTTTGGGAAAGCTTTTCAGAATGACAGGTTCAAGTGGATTCGTATTTGTCTTCTATATTTTAACTGCATTATATGGATTCATGTTTGGTTATCATTTCGGTATATCAGGTATGTTAACATACTTATCTATCTTTCCATGGATTCTTGTTTCATTCATTACTCACATCAACATATGCAGGTGGCATAAGTTCTATGGATTCTTTTTTGAAAAAATTCTTCTATGAAGTGTATGAAAAGGAGAACAACATAAAACCCTCAAACGATCCGTATTGCAAATTTGACAGCCAAATATTGACATTATTCACATCATCTCTACATTTGGCTGCTTTGATTGGATCAATATTTGCATCCTTTGTCATTCGACTTTTTGGGAGACGCCCTCCCATGATATGTGGGGGTGCATTTTTTTTCTTGGGTGCAGGCTTTCTCGCCTTTGCATTCTTTTTCCCACATGGTGAATTAACTGGTATTGCAAACTATGGTTGGGCGCTAATTGTCAGCCGCGTGTTATTTGGTTTAGGAATTGGATGTACTCATCAGGTAATACTATCTATATATTTTTATATAAACTTTTATTCAGTTTTTCATATATTATACTTAATGACATACCATGATTATTAAAAATTGGTTCAAATATAGTACTTTCTTTCTCCAAACATAATTAACAGATTAGATATTTTTAAAATTTTCCAACTTAGAAGGCAAATTATGTGTTAACGTGATTTTTAAATTAGTTAGGTTACATACATAGACATTTTAAATTTCATTATATTAAATATTACTTATGTTATGTATCATGATAGTGTTTTTTTTTGTTTATAGTCTCTATCAATGTATATATCCGAGGTTGCTCCATGTCAACATAAAAGAGTTCTTAATATGATGTTTCAATTGTTAATTACTATTGGCATCTTTTCTGCGAATTTCATCAACTACATTGTTGCGAAAAAGGAGAAGGGAGAAGCGTGGCGTAATAGTTTACGCTTTGAAATTTTTCCTGCTATTTATCTTTTATGCACAATTTGTCTTCCAGAATCACCAAATTATTTTATTGAACGTGGTCTTCATGAGGAGGCTAAGAGGGAACTTATTGAGATTCGAAGAACTACATATGTAGAGGAGGAGTTTAACAATCTTGTGGCAGCAAATGAATGCTCCAGAGAAATGAAAAACCCTTGGATCTCTTTATTAAAGAGACAGTACAGACCCCAACTCACATTTGCCATAATCATTCCCTTGTTTCAACAACTCACTGGCATAAATGTGATTATATTGTATGCTCCTATTTTGTTCAAGACCATTGGTTTTGGAGCCCATGCTTCTCTCATGTATACCATGATAATTGGAGGTTGCAACGTAATTGCCACTCTTGTCTCCATATTCACCGTTAACAAGTTCGGTAGACGAACTCTTTTCTTAGAAGGAGGAATACAAATGTTTATTTGCCAGGTAACCTATTTTCTTAACACTCTTTTAGTGTTATTTTACTAGTATAATGTGATTAAATTGTTTGTTGTTTTGATTTGGCTTTGCGTAGATCCTGATATCCGTAGCAATTGCATGTAAATTCGGACTTGATGGAAACATAGGAATGTTGCCAAAGTGGTATGCTATTGTGGTTGTGTGTGGCATATGTGTGTACGTGGCAGGATTTGCATGGTCTTGGGGTCCTCTAGGATGGTTGGTTCCAAGTGAGATTTTTCCATTTGAAGTGCGTTCGGCTACACAAAGCATCAATGTCTTTGTGAATATGATATCCACCTTTGTCATTGCGCAAATTTTCACTACCATGCTTTGTCTCATGAAGTTTGGATTGTTCATTTTCTTTGCATGTTTGCTCATTTTGATGAATACATTCATTTACAAACTTCTACCAGAGACCAAGGACATTTCCATTGAAGAAATGCATGTTATATGGCAGAATCATCCTTATTGGAAGAAGTTTGTTAAATCAATTGATGTCACTATTAGTGATGAGTGTTAGGAGACTATTCTTATACTTAATTTTTTTTTAATATAAACTATTTTTAATACACTAGTAAAAAAAGGCTTTTTTAACGCGCTATATATGCCTCGGTTCTACTGAAACCGAAGCGTATAAAAGTGCGGTGGCATTTCGGTAAATATTGAGCAGTTATATGTCTCGGTTATATTTGAACCGATGTCTATAGATGTTATTGTCTCGAGTAGAAGGCGAACCGAGGCATATAATATAAATTTTAAATGGTTTAGACACCTGTTCGCTGTGTAACTGATGCAGTTAAAGAGTTTAGGCACCGGTTTTAAATATAATCGAGGCAGTATACCCTAGGTTAAAATAAAAAACCCTTTCTCTCAGACTCATGCACTCTCGCATTGTCGCTCTCATCAATCGCGCTCTCATCTCGCGCTCTCATCTTTGCCTCCCTCCCTCTCTCGTTCTTCTCTCCACCAAACCCCATCATCAGACCGCCACCATCACTGCCGTTCAACCACGCCGCCGGCCACCACGCGCAAACCCGCAAGCATTGCCATTCAACCACGCCGCCACTACAACGCCTTCGTTCTCGTCCAAACTCCACGGAGGCCGCGACCACGCATCGATAGCTTTCTTCTTCCTTCTCCACGCCACCTTTCGCCTCGCCGCCATCGGGAGCCACCACCACCTCGTCGTGTGCGACGGCTTCGAGTGCGGCTTCCAGATCCAGATCCAGATCCAGATCCAGATCGCGATCCCCTTTCTCTCCCTTTTCTTTTTGTTTCTCAGATGGTGCTGTTCGTGGACCGCTTGGTGGAGTCGCTGGCCTAGTACCCGCTTGCCGCTTGCCGTCGGGAGCCGCTTGCCGTCGGGAGCCGCTTGCCGCTTGCCGCTTGCCGTCGGGTGCCAGTGGTTTCTTTGATTTTTTTTTCCAGTTCTGTAATGTATCTGAAGTATGATTTTCTGATGTTCTGATCTGAACTTTGATACTCTGTAATGATTTTCGGATTCTATTTTCTGATTTTTTTTTTCCATTTGTCATATGCTCTGTAATGAAGAACATTGATTCTTTCGTCCCACTGGCTTTTGTTATATGCTTTGTAATGTATGTATCTGAACTTTGATGTTCTGTTTTGATGTTCTGTATTGAATCCTAGAGTGATTTTCTGAACTTTGAAGTTAAAGGTTTGAGGAAAAGCACCCAAGTTCAGCAGTTTTTTGATTTTTTTTTTATTAAAATTTTCTAAGATACGGTCTCGGTTCAAAAGAAGACCGAGGCAAAAACTGATTTCTTTTTGACTCAGTCCACAACCGAGGCATTAAACTTATCCTTTTTACCTCGTCTCTATATGTCTCGGTTGAAGAACCGGTGCCTATAAGCGAATTTAACCGGTGCCATTTCCCTTTATTGCACTATCGATAGTTTAGTACAAAATACGTATTTTTTTAGTTCCAATTTTTCAACATTTGCATGCATGCGTGGAACCTTTTAGTTGTTCATTTGAATAGTTAGCTTTTATATACTAATTTTTTTAAATAGGAACATATTAAGATAAAATTATATTTATATATAGAAAGAGAGAAGCAGTCCCCTCATCATCCGCGAATGGGCTCTCACTAACCCTTGTGGATGACATAGACCAGGAGTTTGTCTCCAACAATTTCTCAATTAGTTTATTCATCCTAGACCTCCATATCAACAAAAGAACATTTAAAATCTTTCTAATGTGTATAAAACAAAAAATAAAAGGAAAAACACATCACCACTGTATCTAAAAAGTCAAATACAAGGTTTGAATCTACAACACTTCTAAGAGGTATTTTGCATCACTTGCCAACAAACTCTTCATATGTGACGATGACAAACTTTCCTTTATCATTATATACTTTGTGTTGATCAAGTCATCAGGTTGTGTAAAACAATAAAATATTTTTCTCCCTTTTTATATCATCAAATCTAATTATATGTTAATGAAAAAGAATGAAGCAATTAAAAAATCACAAACATTTTCATTAATGAATGAGACTACAAAATACAACATTCAATAAATAAACTCATACATTACATTGAAAACTTCAATAATAGACAAACTCAAATTGCATTAACCAAGGAAACATTAGAGCAATACATAGAACACACTCAAAGCATGGAAAACCAATTAACTCTGGTTCTCAAGAATTGCCTGTCTTGTTGAAGGACAAGCGAAAACTCAAGAAGAATTAACTATCTTGTGCTGAAGGATAATGGAAAACACAAGAAGATTGCACTATTAGTTTTCAAAATCTTAAGCAGCAAATTGTTGAGATCAAGGAATAAATTGCACAACTTCAATTAGCAAGAAATAATTAGTTTTGTATGCTTTGAGTGAATTCAATGCGTTGCTCTAATATGTCTAATCCACTAATGAATATGTTTTGTTTTGTGACAACTTTTTTTAAATGCTTCAATTTTTTCCCCTTCTTACATTTGATGATGATGTTAGAGGGAAGAAAAAGTTTCTCTTTTGTTAGATTTAACAGACTAAAAGACAGAAGGGTAACAGGTGGGGCTTGTCTGGTTTAATCCATTAAATCAGCTTGATCAAATAATGAATGTATTAAAATTACTTTAATATATAAACATGCACGAGGCTTTGTTCCTTCAGAAGTCACAGAGCATTTTAACATTAAATTCGACAGCCAACAACTATTAAAGGTTTGAAAACTCCCTTTTCTCCACATAAAATCGTTTTCACAGAAAGATCAACGATATTTTTGAGAGAAATCAAGTTCTTACACAGTGGTTTAACATCTTTTCAAAAGTATATCAAGAAAGTTTTGTGGATCAAGATGAAAGAAGTTCAACATTCCTATGAAAGATTAGTGTTTTGCTTATGAAGGTTTACTCAGATGATATTCTAAACTTTTTCTTTTGCATGGTGGGTTTGTAAATCTTTCAGACGGGATGTGTTAAAGTGTATAACTCATGTTAGATTTTCATAAGTGAATTTGAAACTGTTCTTTTGGGGTTCAAGAAACTTTCGTGGTTAAACTTTCTATCTAAGTTTGCATGTGAAGTGTGTTTATAAACTTTTTCTTTACCCTTAATCAATTGATTGAAAGACTAGATGGGTTAAAAGTGAACCAGTATACAAATCTCGTTATGTTACTCTCTCTTTACCCCTTGAACTCATAAGTTTGGGGCATATGACATGTTTTCTAAAAAATGTGAAGATTTTTAAACCTGATACAGCAATAGCTGAAAGTGCGTATTGATTTGAAGACCTCGTCGTACCTTACAATCTTATAAAAGAGAAGTTCTTCGTTTATCATTGAAACCATTTGACTCAAAGCAAATAATTCTCAGTAAATTTCAAACCCAATTGAGTTCAACCCCCTCCTCCTCTTGCTGGACCATTTTTCTAACACTACTCAAATTGATATATTTGGAAACTTTGCACTAATCAAATTTTGCCCCAAAAGACATATTTCTTTATTCACTGATTAGGAAATCATTGATCAAGTGAAAATAGCAGTAGGCCTTTGTTTGGACAAGAACTTACATAGGATTAGATTTATAATTCAGTTTGGACATCATAATGAACTACGATAAGGCAATTTTTTATTCTTCACCCTGTAATTCTTCTCGAAGCTTGATTTCAAGAATGATGTTTACAAACATTATATGTTTCACATAAAATAATTGTACTGATTGCTGCAGACCAGAAAAATGAAATTTGAGAATCACTGGGAAACCAAAGAAATTTCATGTTAAAGAATAAGTGTACATCTGAAGAAGGTTAGACTAGATCCAAGCGCAGAAAAATCACAGAAACTTACCCACAAGAGACCACACTATCAGAAAGCATGCACCCAGTTGAACTGCCCTGCGGCTTCCCATTTTAGTCACAGCAATTTTGTGAACATTTTCAGTTAAAGTTATAGATCCGGTTCCAGTTCCCCACAGACCAGCCAAGACACTAGAAAGACCTTCAACGCCAATTCCTCGACTAAGAACTCTTGTAGTCGGCGGTCTGAATGCAACCAATAACGAAGATGCATGGTATGTGCCAACCTGCAAAGATTAAAGTAAACAAATATCAATGACACGGTACAATGATTTCTTATTATTTTAAAAGTCCTATTATCAAGGAGATATTTTAGTTTTTCGGTTTAGGGGCTGATTTTAATTTTTTATTTGAAGTTCTGTAAGTGGCTATTTAATAGCCTTTATCTCAATCAATGAAGTAGCACATATTTTACACAGAAAATATATTTTTGTGCGTGAGGTTATTTTAACAACAAGGTGGTATCAAAACTTCATGCTCTGAGTATCAAGAGAAGAGAGGGAGAGAGTCAAACACCGTGAGGGAAAAAGTGAGTGTTTGTTTTTTTTTATGAGAGATGGCAAAGGTAGTCAACGGAATGAGTGTGCCACAATTGTCGGAGAAGATCAATTACGACAATTGATCTTTGCATATGAAGGTTTTTCTTGGATCCCAAGATGTCTGGGACATAGTGGAGGACGGGTACAATGAACCCGTGGATGATGAGCATCAGACAGTGAACCAGATTGGTGCATTGAAAAAGACACGAGTGAAAGACGGATCGACTTTGTACTTTCTGTATAATGCAGTGGATGAATATGGATTCGAGAAAATAGCTAATGCAAAGTCAGCAAAAGAAGCATGAGAAATTTTGAAGGTGGCATACAAAGGAGATACTCGCGTGAAGAAGGTTCGAGTTCAAGCCCTCAGAAGAGAGTTTGAACGTATGGAGATGGATGAAAAGGAAGGAGTTGTCGAGTTTATAGCTCGAGTGCAGAAGATGGCCAGCCAACTCGGAATGAACGAAGAAGAGGTGCCTCCTAACCGGGTTGCGGAAAAGATCTTGAGAAATCTGACAGATGATTTTGAAAGTATCGTGGTCACTATTGAAGAGACAAAACATTTGTCAACTCTCACTGTGGAGGAGTTAGTTGGGTCATTAAAGGCCCACGAATTGAGGAAGAAGAAAAAAAAGAAGGAACCTGATGATCAAG